GTGTTTATGTATAAAGCCAGGAGCAATTTATTACCTGGTGGAATTCAAAAACTATTTAATGAAAGGGAAGGGGGATACAATTTAAGGGGTCAGTTAAATTTAAAAATTCATGCTATACGTACAACCAAAAGAAGATTTTGTATTTCCATAAGTGGGGTAAAACTATGGAATAATTTAAGTGTGGACATAAAAAATAGTAATAGAATTGATGAGTTTAAACACAAATATAAAGGTATGTGTCAATCAAGATATGGGCAAGAACAGGCTTAACGATTAATCAGGTGTAACATTGTAAGTGTGCTGTTTTAGTATATCACTTGTGTGGTGTAGAACAAAATTATCTATGTAGTAATACTGCTTGCAAACCAATGATGGTAAGATGATGTCATGGGGTAGGACTAGATAAGTCTAACTTCTTCCTACTCCGTTCAAGCATGTACTAGGTATAAGCAAATTGAAAATATACTTGTGGATATGTGTGGAATTATGTGTGTTGAAATATTGACTGTTGTTACATGTTTGAAAGAATAAATCAAATCAAATCAAATTAAATCAATTAGTCAATAATTAGTAATTAGTCAAGAAGGTAAAAGATTAATTAGTTGACTAGCTGGTTATGTTATAAGTTAACGTAAATTACGATGTGTAACACTTAGCGCGAACGTTACAGAACAAGCTGAATAACTACCCAGTTAGCCACTATCACTATAGCTAACTGGTGTTACTGGTTGGAGTGTTTTTACCTGTGTATGAAGAAGGGGGGTGACATGGAAGCATGCTAACAGTTAGGTCAGCTAGTGACAGCAACACCACTCAAATACACATTTTAAATGCTGTAGCTAGGGGCCGCCATGCACGTCAACGTTATGTTCTCTGGCTAACGTTAGATAACAACTAACACGGGATTACCTGCTGGGTTCTTCAGAGCCGTCAGGGGGTTGCCCTGACCCCGCTGTGTCCGCATGTTCAGTGTGGGAAGAGCGCGTCGTCGTGGTACCGCCGGGAGGTACAGGGACAGAGAATACAGGTACAAGCTGGCTGTAGCGACAACAACGAACAGTCCGAAAAGTGAGCGCATGTTTCGCTAACTACCTGCTCCACGGCCTCCCCCTGTGCTGTGGCTAAGAGCAACGGAGAGACACGACGTCCAACCGCTGCAGTGACGTCATATCCCCGGGTCAGTTGTAATATATTTATTACGTATAGGCGTCATTAGACCTTTTACTGGGGCACGTACCCCAATATTCATCTGCTATACCTCACTACAATCACATGCTCGAGCCTTAACAAGCTCCTATATTTGGCAGTGGATTAACCTAGATTGATAATAATGTGAAAAGCAAATATTTGTTGTTCTAATGTGTTAGGTATTTTTAGTCAGATAGAAATTGGATAGATACTTTATGTATTAGAAATGTTTAGTGGAGATAGGATGTCTAGTTAGACTGTTAAATGCTTAGTCATGCTTATGAGTTTCTACAGGGTACATCTGGTCAAGGATAACTAGAGAGAAGAGTTGATGACTGTCAGCAGACAGGGTGTTTAATATTATTATTATGACGTGTAGAACTGTAGCCTTAGCCATAATATGTTCTTATGTTTAAGTCACGACATGTTACTAGAAGTCTGTGAGAATGTTTTTAGCTACACACCACTTAATCAACAGACACACACACATGCACATTGATTTGCTTCATGTTTTGACTACTGCTATGACCAGCTGCAAAGCTGGCAACAGAGACGTCTCGGTTGACGTTTCTGTGTAGTATGGGGCTAGCCCAACCGAGGGGATATAATGTATAGGCCTGGTGGGTTCAGGGTCTTTCATCTTACACCTGCCTGCGAGCAGTTTGGAGGTGCAAGATACCTGAGCGTGTAATGTTATTTTTTACCTGTGTTCATGGAATAAATCAACACTGTTTTGAAGTTACTTGGACTGTCTCGTCTCTCAGAGTCAGTATGGTAAAAAGTACGGGGTACAACAAATGTCAAAGCAAAACACAAGCTGAGGCACATGTCAAGGTTCGTACACCACGGCACGCGCATATGCACTGCAGCGCACACGCAGCAATCAATGTACTGTGCACGAAAAGAATGGACTGAGGTACGTGACATGGACTAAATTAAGTTTTTAAATATTACTGATGATATTTTTTGAGTCAGACATTACTCTTGTAGGTGGAGTCGATATGTTTTGTCTCTTTATGAGTTACAAAACATGATTACATTGGTTGTTTTTTATGATTTGGTGATACACAAATCAAACTGGGCCTGCTTGACAGTCAAATTAGTCATTATTGTGAAATGCAGAAGAATGCAAAGAAATGTGCAATACAGAGCCAGACCTTTACGCCTTTAAGACATGTTGTTGAAATAAATATTTTCATAAAGATTAATATTTCTCAGTTTGTACCTTTGCCAGTAGTTATTTCAAGAAAAATAGTTGTGGTTTGAGTAGTGAGGGCCCTGTGCCCCAGTAGAACTTTATGTCTAGCAAAGCCCTTGATATTACATTATCGGTTAGTAAGTGAATGCTACTTTAAAATAGACATTTTACCGTGTACTGTACTTAAAGAAGAAAAAAAAACATCATTTCTGTTCAGCTCCAGACCATGTGGGGGCGCTAGTGCTCTGAGTTGTTCCCATCAACCGTCAGGTGCAGCAGAACAGAAGACGACGAGGAAGACGGTTTGGAAAGATGAACATCTTTGTGGAGTTAAAGTGGGATAGAGGTGGTGTGCGTCCTTGTCAACAGCTCTGAAGTTTCAAAGTTCATCCTGCAAACCGAAAAGAAGTGCGACAGCTTGCAGTGTTTGATCGACAGCATGGCTCAATACAGTCGTGTTTCGGGGACTGTTGGCTTGATTACTCTCCAAAATCCGCCGGTCAACGCACTCTGGTGAGCTACAGTCACTGACAGGGCTGCAGATTCTTTAGGTCGTGGTGTTTGTCTAGTTAGTGGGAATACACGTTGCTGGAAATTCAGATGTTATGGGCCTTTTTCAGCAGCCGCCTGCACAAGTAGAGGTGCAGACAAGCTACAATGACTTGATTTTGTGAGCACATGATCATTGTTCTCTTTTGTTAGATAAGTAAGTTTTGGAATGCCATTACGGCTACTCGTATTTTGTATGTAGTATAATTTGTACTTGGGGTATTTTTATGTTACGCTACACTACATTTCAGAGTGATTGAATTTTTATTTAAAAAAAAAATCCGTGATGACCTTGTAAAATATCTAATCTGTTCCTAATATTCTGACCTTTTAATGTATGTAGTAAAGTAGTCCAGTACAACACCACCTTTAACTATGACCTCAATAACAAATGTATCATTGAATGTATACATTCATGACAAATTCAGCAAAAACCAAAACAGTTTCATAAACACAGATGTTATGACGGAAGTGTTGCACTGAACTGCATACAATTGTACTTGTGTACACAGTATTGTGATACTGGTAGGGGCCGTTCTGTTCTGAGTACTGTTTGATACTTGATAAGTACATTTTAAACAGTCCGTCTAAGTACATTGTGCACATAAAGTAAACTTGAACCTTGACCATTTATTTGTTTGATAATATTTAACTAAACGTTTGATATGGGGCTTTTACTTGTAGTGAAGTATTGTTCAGCTCAACTCAACTCAACTTTATTTATATAGCACTTTACCACAGCACAGCTGACCAAAGCGCTTAACATATCATACAAATCTAAAATCAACACATAAAAAACTATAAACAATAAAATAAACACTCTAACACTACAGACAGTCTCATTCCTGGCCAAACGCCAATGAATACAAGTAGGTCTTCAAATATGGCTTAAAAGTAGACAGCGAGGGGGCCTGCCTAATATAAAGTGGCAAAGCATTCCATAGGTTTGGACCCACCACAGCAAAGGCTCTATCCCCCCCTAGTTTTACGCCTAGACCTCGGTGCCTCCAGAAGAAGCTGATCAGCTGATCTAAGGCACCTCGACGGATTATACGGACGCAAAAGTTCCACGAGATAGGATGGTGCCAGCCCATTTAAGGACTTATAAACAAATAAAAGAATCTTAAAACGAACCCTAAAACGCACCGGAAGCCAATGGGGAGATGCCAGCACTGGCATTATGTGGTCCCTCTTATGCCCCCCAACCAATAACCAAGCGGCAGCATTCTGGACCCTCTGGATGCGGGCAAGACCCAACTGACTAACTCCAGCGTACAGTGCATTACAGTAATCCATATGAGATATAATAAACGCATGGATCACTGTCTCAAAATGCCACTGCGACAAAAAGGGCTTTACTTTTACTAACTGGCTTAAATAGAAAAAAAACAGATTTTACGAGCGCATTTATCTGGCTCTCCATTTTCAAATTGGAGTCTGTTTTAACACCCAAATCAGTGACCACCGGTCGCACATACTGCCCCCAGCTCTGGTATCTAAATAGCTAAATCAGGATCCTCTGTACAGTGTGCTGTTTGGGACATCTCAGCTCAGCTTGTCAGCTTCAGCTTTGTCAGAACAGACTCAGTAACATCAGTCTTGTACATGGTCATCCAGAAGCATGATGCATCACAGCAAATCAGTCTCTTATGCTGGTCACTGACAACTCCACTGGAGCATTTAGAAACCTTGCGCCACAGTTTATGAAGGAGGGGCACATTTTTCACACAGATTTATCCTGTTGGCTTTTCTGGTCAGGCCACCGCTGACCTATTTTACAAAACCATGTTCTTTATATAAGGTGTGTTATGTTCAAAGAAAAATGCATATCTGTTGACTGGTACCAGTTTCACTGTGCACTTTGTGATCATTGTGAGTTGTGACAAAGAACGAACCATAAGTAAGCAGAATCACAAATAAATTATGTAATAAAAGTTACTGTAAATCTTTTTTTCTTACATACAGTGCAGCGGTGAGGCAGGGCATTGTTGAAATGTTGAAGAAAGCGCTCAGTGACTCGAAGGTGAAGTCAGTGGTCATCTGTGGCCAGAATGGAATATTCTGTGGGGGTATGAATGCTTTGGATTTATGCTTTATTTCCGCTAACTTCAAAATGGTGACTCAACTCCAAATCTTGAAAAGGCACAAATTCATGACATTCTAATTGCTAACAATGAGTGCATTTGGTCCCACATGGTTCTCTTGAGGATTTCCCTTTGGTGCTTTTTTTAATTTAATTTTATTTTTTAAATATAACATACATTTAGGTGACTCCCTCTAGTCCTCAGCAATGGCATGAGGGCAGCTGAAGTTGTAATCAAACAGGCTTTAAGTATTTAAAGAAATCAGTGCTGTTCCCTGTTGAAATTGGATTGAACTTGAATATCAGTGTCAGTCTAAATGCATCTGATTTATTATTTTCTGTTGTCAAACTATATCTAAATTATATACTGTTTAATTTTTATGTAACAAACCTTTCCTAACTTACGTCCGTTTTTTTGTTCGAAAGTAATATCGTCAGTTTCATTTGCATAACAGGAGCGGACATCAAGGAGTTTGGGATGAACATGTCTGGGCCTCCATTGGTACAGGTGATCCATGCCATCGAGGATGCGAACAAGCCGATGGTGGCGGCTATAGAAGGGGTCGCTTTAGGAGGAGGCCTTGAGTTGGCACTTGGGTGTCACTATCGAATCGCACACTCCAAAGTTAGTTCATGCTTCAGCTTTCTCTCTGTCTCGCTTGTGTCAGTGTCAAGCTGCATCACTGGAACATGTTGAATTACCCATTGAATTACTGCGTGACTCTTCACTGAGTTATTGAATTTGTTCAGAGTAACTACAATAGAACCAGTTCAGTCAAGAAAAAAGGAAATGTAATTCTATGTAAATAACCAGTACTTTTAAAGCATTGTTATTCCATCTGTTTAAGCCACGACATGATCAATGTAATGTATGCCGAAGACCACTGTGTCTGTGAATATCATGAAGATCTAGTGTTCAGTACCCCCCGCCTTCATTCAGCTGTGTGCATTTCTGTCCTTGCAGGCCAGGCTGGGGCTTCCAGAGGTGATTCTGGGTTTGCTGCCAGCTGCTGGAGGAACCCAGCGACTGCCAAGGCTCATTGGGGTCCCAGCTGCCTTAGACCTCATCACCACAGGTGAAAAAGACAGGGACTGAAAGCATCAGTAAATATGTCACCATACACATTGGGCCACATTCACCAGTTGTTCTTAAGAACACATTTGTTTATAAAACCCACTTGCAAAGTTTTTACAAAGATTCTGGCACCTACCAACGTTTTCTTATCTGGGATTTGTTCTTAGCTAAGAACAGAATCTACGCACACTTAATGTACATTTGAATGCTGACATGTTTGTGTGAAATAACTGGTTATTTAGTTTTCCTCAGTTCCACAGTTGTATAAGATTTAAAATAAGAGTTTTGTCATTATTAATATTTTAAGTATATTTTACAAAACATTATGGTCTTTTAAAACAAATAAACACTAAACATTACAAGCAATTACAATTAATTATCTTTTACTGTGTGATTATTTATAACTTATTATTAAGAAATGCACAACTTATAAACGAAACACATTTAAGTGCATACCTTGATTCTAATTTCCCTGCAGTCTCGTGCCCTTTTATGGGCATTGGCGGGGTGTTAACTAATGCTAATTAGGACCAACTGGAACACGCTTTGGTGAATGTCACCCACTGTTCTGTTGCAACATGCCAGTGTTCCTGCATGTTATAGTTATGAATGTAAGTCATTAACATCATTAACATCAGCAGAGCTGATAATAAACACTGATCACAGAGCTCCTGTGAGGACACTGGTAGTTTACTTGGATGACCAGCAGATGTCACCCTGTGTCTAGTTTGACCGTGATCACTGCCAGTGGAGTCTCTTGTGTCATTATTTGAAATGTTCTTAAAAATCACTCTAAGTAAACTATTCCTTTAACCCTTTCATTTTAAGAAAAAAGAAATAGACTCTTGGTGTTCTTCATGTCTTCCATAGGTCGCCATGTGATTGCTGCTGAGGCACTGCAGCTGGGAATAGTGGATCAGGTTACTGATCACAAAACTGTGGATGCAGCTGTGAAGCTTGCCCAAAGTGTTGCAGGTGAAAAAAAAATCCTAAGAGCACAAGGCACCCACAGGTATAAAATCCAGTCACTTTTCACTGTTTTAAAGACTGACTCAGTGGAAGGAACAGGAGCTCCTCCTATATTTGCATAGTCTGAAATCAAGAAGTGTCAACAAATAGGTTGCAGAAGTTAAAGGATGCAGAAAACAGGGCAGGCAGATCCTTCGCCATAGAAGCCATAAATGTTTCATGGCTCTGTCAGATGTGCTGTGATGTCTTCACAGCTTTTGCTGTATTATTCAAAAGGGCGAAAAGAGACTAACTTTCCTAGAATATTAACTATGAGCCCACACCAGTCATTTAGGAGGATGAAGACTGCCCCGTGCTTGTGACTCAGGCTCATTAACTCACTGAATGAATGCTGAAGTGTGCCATGTGTCTGCAGTTTACAAGGAACAGTTTCTCTGTTCAAAGCACAATGCTTTCAGATAGAACACATAGTGACTGTACTGACATACAACACTATTAGGCTCAGCTTGAAATATACAACAACATTTAATATTGATTTTATTGTGCTCATAGGAAAAACATCTCTTCTTGGTGTGCCTTCTGTTTTCTAGAGGGTGACCTTATTCTTAACATCAATTTAACTGCAGCCACATTTATATACATTTTATTTCTGCTTTAAAGTAGCAGATTGACGTTTTGGGAAATACGCTTATTTGCTTTCTTGCTTTGAGGTCGGTGAGAAGAATGATACCACTTTTATGTCTGTGCCTTCAGTATGAAACTGTTGCCTAAAGCTAATTAGTGTAGCTTAGCATAGAGACATAAAGAAACACTGGGAAACAGCTACAGTAGCCCGACTCTGTCTAATGACAAATTCTGATTTTTGTGTTGTACAATTTCTTGTCAGTGGACACAGTGCCGGGCTAGATGTTTCCCTGTGCTTCCAGTCTTTATGCTAAGCTAAGCTAACCCTGGTGCCCTGTTGGACATGAGAGTGACATCAAGAGTGGCATTGATCTTATCTCAGCAAGAGTGAGAATAAGTGTATCTCTCCAAAAGTCAGACTAATCCCCTAAGTGTTTAAGAATGTTATATCTCCTTTGGTGTTGTGAACCAGTACATGCACCACCCACTCTGGTGTGTGGTTTTGTGTTGTAATATTAGTACAAGAAGGGAGGCTGTATATTGTTGAGCCTTGTCTCAACAGAGCCCTAGTTGTACAAGAGCTTTTGATTCTTCTACATGAAGTGAGCTGATGTTTTCGTCCCTAGGTTGTCGCTTGCTAGATGTCGTCTTCATCTGACAACTGATTTTTAAGACATCAAAGTTAGTATGAAACCTTTCAGCTTATGATTAACATTGGCCCTTTTGCAGACAGTCTACCTCTGTGCAAAATGTCAGCTGCAAGTGCCTAGGATTGCATGTAAAACAACAGATTACAGTCAAAAGATGATTTTAGTCTTCTGCCTTTTAGAAATACTTTTTTTTTCCCACACAACCATGCCAAGATGACTGAGTGGGTGAGAAAGTGAGTGTAAAGCTGAGGCTTAGAGTGAGTCAGACAGAGAAGCCATCAGCATACAAGATGAGAGATTCAAGGAGATAGGACTGAAATCTGCTGAGATTTTGACTTGGACTACAGTCGCGAGTTGATTAACGGGGGTATTAAACGTGGACGGGAAATAGGCATCTAAATTTACAAACCAAGTGTGAGTGTTGATGACACTGAGACGGCACGGTTGGTGAGTCAGCCAGCACAGAATAGCTTTAGTCCGTCACATCCGTAGAGACACTACATCACCGTAAAGTGAAGCACGTGTGGGCTCAAGGACACACACACTCTCTCTCTCTGATGACGAGATTAACTTTTTTTACCCTTCTAGTTGCAACATCTGACCGCTACATCTGTCAGGATGACCAGGCTTCCCACTTGCTGCACAACAGCTCAGCCATTTACAGATTAACTGCTGCAATAATGCCTTTCCAAAACGCACATAGGAACCACCATGCATTTCACTGTGGACAGAGTGCACGTTGAACTGGCCCAACATGAACCTCACCTTTCATTCTTCATCTCACGTATATTGATACTGACTTAATGGTTTTAGACAGAAATGTTTGTTATTAGACAAAGCGGAGCCATAAATTCCATGTGGTCTCTGTCCCTTTAAGCTTTGCCATGGTGACCCAGTTTTTGGCCCAGACCCACGGCTGAGTGTGATTTAATGGAGCTGTGAAGGATTCTGACTACTATCTCATGTAATTATGTCAGAGAAGACAGGGACAGGATTTAAGATGCTTTTAACAAGAATTTAGCATAGCGGGCCAATCCCCTCTCACTGTTCTTTGGTTTATAACACTACAAACAGGGAGTATTGTGTTTAAAGTTTTAGGCTCTAATGCTAAATCATCTCATGTAGCTTCACTTGGAAAATTGCTGCGGTATTGTGCCACTGCTCACACACCTGAGAATTACAAAAATTCAATTTCCTCCCCTTTTGATGCCAGAGTTGGAAATTTACTTACTATGTTGCTCAAAACCAGATTGTTGCATTTTATTTCATTTCAGATCGGTCTTATTCGAGGTGAGCAGTAACAGTGCGCTGGCAGAGTCTCTCCGATTATCTTGGAAATGGCCTGTCAAATCACTCTGCTCTTAAAAGCTGCTGGGGTATCTAGTGATTGAGTGGATGAGTGTGCCTGAAAAAGCAATTTTACTCAGACTGACTGCTGACTGACAAATTGGAGAAAGTGGGGAAAAAGCTGTACCAGTAGAAACTTTAAAAAAATAAGAATATGCAAGCGTACATGTACATAAATGTAATTCCAGAGTAAATGCTTAATTCGCTTTAAACTTTTAACTGCCAGCAAAATTAACACATACAAGTAAAAAGGTAATTCCTCTGGAGTCACTTTTCTTCCATGTTTCTATTTCAGGAAAACCACTGGATGCTCGTCGTATAAGCACCTACCCATGCGCACGCCCATCTGATTTGGATGCTCTGTTCGAGGGGGAGATGCAGAAGGTGCGACAAAGAGCCCGTGGAGCCATCGCACCGGTTGCGTGTGTCCAGGCAGTGCAGGCAGCTGCCACCCTGCCCTATACTCAGGGCATAGAGCGAGAGAAAGAGCTGATGGTCACTCTCTTCACCTCAGGCCAGGCCCGTGCCCTGCAGTACCTTTTCTTTTCTCAGAGAGCTGTCAGCAAGTGGAGCACGCCCAGTGGAGCACGCTGGGACACAAGCAAGCCTGGGCCCATACATAAAGTAGCTGTCATTGGTAAGAGCTTTGGGCTTTTAATTTCCATTTGTCTGAGCTTTCATTAAGCACAAGCACACTGACTCATTAAGCTATCTATGTCATCTCCAAGTTGATGTTGCCCATGGAAACAAAACCCATATATACATTTCAGTGGAGTTTAGATGGATGAACTCTCTACTCACTGCAGGAAAGACGGGGGGTGTTTGACAATCTGTGTATGTGAAGCTCAACAGCTTGTGAATTAAAATTGCAAGGTTGGAAAAACTTGATGGTGCCAGGCTGAAACTGTTTACAGTCTAGGATTGTGTATAGTGAATAAAAAAGAATATGTGATTCATGTGATTTTTGTTGTCTAAGGTCTTGGCACTATGGGGAGAGGCATAACAGTGGCCCTGGCTCAGACGGGGTTGTCCGTGGTCGCTGTGGAGACCCAGGAGAAGCAGCTGATGGGGGCAAAGAAGGCGGTGTCAAACATGCTGGAGCAAGGGGCTAAGAGACGAGGGGTTGCTCCCACACTAGACAAGATCAGTTACAGCCCTAATATCCAGGCTATAGCAGATGCCGACCTGGTCATTGAGGCTGTGTTTGAGGATATGGCCCTGAAGAAGCAAGTCTTCCAGCAGCTGGCTGCTGTTTGTAAACCAGGCACTTTCCTGTGCACCAACACTTCTTCACTAGATGTGGACCAACTGGCCTCTCAAACCCGCAGCCCAGAGTTGGTGGTGGGGATGCACTTCTTTGCTCCAGCCCATGTCATGAAGTTGTTGGAGGTGGTGTATGGACCACGGACCTCTCCTCAGGCGGTGGCCACTGCCATGGAACTGGGGAAGAAAATGGGCAAAGTCAGTGTGGCTGTTGGAAATTGCCAGGGCTTTGTAGGGAACCGCATGCTGAAGCTATATCTCGAACAAGCTTTTTTTCTGTTAGAAGAAGGGGCCACACCTGAATTGGTAGATCGAGCACTGGAAGAGTTTGGGTTTGCCATGGGTGTGTTCAGAATGTCAGACCTCTCTGGGCTCGATGTGGGCTGGAAGGTCCGGAAGGGACTTATGCTGGGTGAGACTGATGTGTCATCAGGGCAGTCAGCTCGAATCCGACAAGGCTGCAGGTACAGCCCGCTGGGAGACCTGCTCTGTGAGCAGGGCCGGTTTGGTCAGAAGACAGGGCAGGGATGGTATCAGTATGACAAGCCTGGCGGTCGGGTTGCCAGCTCTGATCCTTGGCTTCACAGCTTTCTGGAGAGTTACAGAGCCAAGCACGGCCTGGTGGCACGGCACATAGACCACCAGGAGGTACTGGAACGCTGCCTCTATGCCATGATCAATGAGGGTTTCCGTATCCTGGAGGAAGGAATAGCTGCAGGACCTGAAGACATAGATGTCATCTATGTGTTTGGCTACAGCTGGCCCAGGCACCGTGGAGGCCCCATGTTCTACGCTGACATGGTGGGGTTGGCGAAGGTCCTGGAGAGGCTGGAGCACTACCAGCAGGCTCACCCTGATGTGCCCTACCTACAACCCTGCAGCTTGCTCAGGAGGCTGGTGGCCAGCGGCAGCCCACCTATACAGAGGTGGAGGGAAGTCATCAAGAAACCACACAGCCAGCTTTAAATCTCATAAATTCATGACCAGCTTTAATATGTTGATACACTTGGATAATAATGATAATACTGTGATTAACATAATGTACTACATTTATATTGAGCTTTTCTGCTTATAGTAATGCTTACTGATTTCTTATATATGGTGGTTATAAATGATTTAGGATGATTTCTGTGAGATAGTCCCAATGTCTGACTGATGTCGATTTAACTACTGACTTGGAGGACTGTCCTGTTGGAATGAATTTAATCTTGTAGTTAAATCTGGGTGTTTTAAATACTCAACTTTTTTAAAAATGCATTTGTGTACAGCATACAAAAATATCATCTACATGTATCATCTGATGACTCAATAAAGGTTAAATAATCATGTATTTATTTATTTTTGTGCATGTCCGATTTGTGTCAAGCTAGTACACTGTATACGGTGTTAATTTAGCTGTTTGTCTTGCTAGTCTGACACAAAATTCAGGTAACTGCTATATCTCAGTTCATTAGTCTCCTCGGAGCAGTGTTTCTGATTGAGAGGTGAAGTTGTTCATCTTGTGGTGTTTTTTTTCTGCTGGCTCTGCTGCAGTGGTGACAGAAAAGCTGAGGCATACAACTCTAAAGTGCTTTTATAAAAATCATTGGCTTGTTCTCCAGTAAGTTCTACGCCCAGCAGTGGCCAAATGTTAGGGCTGCCACCTAGTGGCTGAAGACTCAGACTGAACAGCTGGATTATATATAAATGATCCATTTTGTCTTCAGCTACATTTGTGGAACCTTTTATTGTTCCACTGAAACAAAACTATGATTTCAGCATCTATAGCATTATACATATTATGAAGATATAATTTGTATATAACCTTTGTGTGACTATTCAACTCAGTGTAGCTGAAGATTTGATGTGTGTGAAGTGCGCAGAGCAGCTAGCTGTGGACTCCTCCCGTTGTGTGAAGTTCAGATGCGCGTCGTTCTTCCGTGCGCGCGTCACCAGCGCACAAAGGAGCTTCCCGACGCGAGGGGAGAATGGAGAGGTATGTGGATCACGAAAACCGGGGGTTTTGAATGCCATTACGCCTCGATAACTGACGCTATTTTACTTTGACCGGATACATTGCCACCCTTTGCATGAGCACCAACCCGGCTGCTCTGGATTCAGAGATCCAGCACCGTCTTTCGCATCTGCTTCCCAGCTGAAAAGCTTCCTGTGCTGCGTGGACCGTAAACCTCGGGTCAGTCCCTCACGATTGTGCTGTAGTTTACTGGGACGAAGCTGTGTGCGTTTTTTCATCCAGGAAATGTTGGCATGGCCGCCTCTGGAGCGCATAAGTGTCCGAAGAGTGACAAGTTGGACGAGGCGCAGGCTTTGGCCAAGAGCTGCGCGGGGAGACCAGACTTCCTGCCTTGTGATGGGCTCTCCATCTGCGCTACACACAGCCACGGGAAGTGCTTCAAGCTGCACTGGTGCTGCCACTTGGGCTGGTGTCACTGTAAGTTTGTTTTTAAATAAGTGTTTGCTTTACTCCAAATTATCTTACTGGCGCTATAATGGCAAAATATGCCGGATATTTGGTGGCCACGGTTATGAATGCAGAGACATCAATTCACTCTAAGACCACACACGCACTGCATATTGACAAAAAAAAGAGCGAAATGTAGCAGATGGTAATTAGAAGATATGAATTACTCGATGATAATAACGTAAAAAGGCACAATGGGACACATTATGAGCGGTTATGTAAATCTCATCAGCTGACTCCACAGGAAACATTGGCTACCTCAGTGGTATTTCATTTTTCCTAGAACTTCAAAGCACATTTTCAATTTTTGTATATTTTTAATATTTGTTCGTATTCATTGCAATAAACTTGGAGTCATATATGTATTCATCATCAGAGTCAAACCTTCAAATAGACTCCCTGCTATGAATAATTTATAATGGTCTAAACACGGGAGACTGAAACGTTGGGAGTTGGTTGTTTCAGGCCACGGTGTCATTGTTTACCACTATTTATCCGGGTTTGTTCTAACTTGGTTTGTACATTGTGTTAATTATCATGCAACCCAGACTGTCAGCATATACTGAACATGAAGTTTTAGGGAAGGCTGCAACCCCATCAGTACAATATTCATATAGTGAAAATCTTTACCTGTCGGTGTTAATGAGATGTTAAAGGAGGGAAAAGGCACAAGACATTATAAGTACAGTGGTTTTATTTGTCTGCAAATCTTTGTATTTAAATAATAACTCAACTAAGAGTTTAATGCCATTTAGGCATGATACTCCTGTGTTTTCCATTGGGTCAGTGCTTTACAGAATGTATTTCTGGTTATGATCTGCCTGTCTAACATCTTATCCAGGGTGTACTTGAAAGGAGAGTCTACACACATCCAGCCCTTCCTCACTTTAACAGCAGAGATGTAAATTTTCCCAGACATCAAAAGAAGTGTGCACACGCATGCACACGGGCACACACACATTGACTGAATCCACCATCAACCTTCCTTTATTTCAATGTCAGTGGAAATCTTTCACTACGTGCATGCTGACATCACACATCTGAATCATAACTTCATTTCTACTTTAAATGACAAGTCTTGGGATGATCTAGATTTTTATTACTGTCAGCAAACAAAAAAGTAGCAATGACTGGATACTATAAACAAGCAAGTGCTGTCAGTGTAGCTAATGCCTGGTATACAGCAGCTTCCTATGTGCCGTAAACGTTCAAAACACATCATTGGATGTGACGAACATGGGCACTCTGGTTTATTTTCAGTCAGTCCCACAGATTTTCTCCCAGGTGCTGTCACCTGGACACCAAATGTGTAGTAATCCAGAGCTGAAAAATCAGTAATCAAGTGCAGTATTTACTACTGTTTGAGTAACATTTACTAGACACTACATTTCACAGCTGTTATGAGAAATTAATAATCACCTTTATTTATTTGGCCAAGCATGTTACACACACAAGGAATTTGTTTCTGGTACAGAACCAAGGCAGCCATCTACGGCGCCAACTCACACCGATGGCTCTAACCATCGGGGGGCAACTTGGGGGTTCAGCGTCTTGCCCAAGGACACTTCGACATGTGGACTGCAGTCACCATGAGTCAAACCACCAACCATCTGGTTGGGAGACGACTGCTCTACCCACTGAATCACATAAACAGCAGAAGAAGGCTGTAGTGATAGATGTAGAAATCCCATGCGATAGCAACATCAGGAAGAAGGAACACGAGAAGCTCAAGAAATACCAAGGGCTGAAAGAAGAGCTAGAAAAGATGTGGAAGGTGAAGTCACAAGTGGTCCCTATGGTAATAGGAACACTGGGGGCTGTGACCCCCAAACTGGGAGAGTGGCTCCAACAGATCCCAGGAACAGCATCTGAGATCTCTGTCCAGAAGAGTGCAGTCCTAGGAACAGCTAAGATACTGAGCAGGACCCTTAAGCTCCTTCAAGGCCTCTGGTAGAGGACTTGAAGGAAGGAATAAGACCACCAATATACATAAAAAAAAACAACAGAATTACATCTTCAGCTCAAAGCTGGGGAGGCTCTGGGCTCAGTGCTACAAACAGTACTAACTGTCAGTACATAGTGTATTTTTGGTTTTGGTCTTTTTCCTGGGATTTAATATAGAGTAATGCCAGTGTTAATCCTTTAAATGAGGTTTTTCCACCTTTGGCCACAAAAGTTTTGACAGTGTTAAACTGTCAGATGAAATCAGTCTATACCCTTCAGCCACAGGCCATAGCTTTGATGATATTAGCTGAACTCAATAGTATTTATATTGACTCTATAGAGCACAAGGCTGCAGCTCCACCTAAACATGAACAATTTTCTTTTCACACTGAGAAGTGACAATAGTATTTTTAACACCTGCAAATCTCAGACACTTGCTTTCCATTTGAACCTTTCTCAACCTGACACTGATTCCAGCAACTGTGCTTGATCCTGACAGGACGTCCTTCTATTTGTGCCGCCCTAATTTATCCCCATTGCTGTCTGCCCAGAAAATCCTCTGATCAGTGTAAAACACAATCACCACCCACTCTGCACCAGCCCGTTGGGGCTTACAGTGTGCAACTGCAAAAGTCACGTTGTAATCTTTGCCATGTAATCAGTGGATTTAGATGCCTGCCTCCATCCAGAATGAGCCAAGTGATTTGAAATATCTAACGTGGCAGAGAAATTGTGAATTCCTTCCAGTGTTTATTATGAGCCACATCTGGGATTTATGATTCTCAGCACAGCCTGCTCAGTGTTACATCATTTGTAAACATTTAGACTTGCTCCTCTTTTCTGCTTTGAAATATTCATCACCCTGACTGAAAAGGTGCTGCACAGTGAACACGGAGCCCTTTGTACCCATTATTTACTTCAAGCTTGTTTTGCTATAGAAGAAAGCGGCAGTAACATTATAATAGAGCTTCTCACCTTCATGTCTCTCTCTGCTGTAATTCTCAGGTTCCCCTCACTTGCATTACAGTGAGAATAAACCCACTTATGCTGCTGAATCAGGGCACCCAGTGAGAAAAGTACAGCAGCGTGCTTCTGCATCCGGCACCCACCTGCTCAGCTTAGATCGCACACTTTCATTCTAGAAGTGCATAATAATAAAGCTGGATGCAAAGGAGTGGCTTGTTGTTACGTCCTTATCTCGTCACGCTTTCCTTTTGAACGTGTATGACTGTCGCCTGGAGCATAAACTTATTTGGAAGCTGATAATTGTGCCGTCACCATGGGGAGCCCTGCCAGACTGCTTTTTTAATTACATTTTTAATAGGTTTCAAGGCAAACAAATATAAAAGGCCACTTGGCTCAGCACTTAAATTTTCGAACACAAATTATTTCCATTTTCTTACATGTGGGTGATTATGTGTGACTTAAATCTGGCTTCTATTTCTTTTGTGCAAACTGAATATTTTTAGAAAATCTGTTTCTGTACTCTGAGACCATACAAATCATCAGCTACAGCAAGAAAACTGTGCTGTCGCTTTAACGGCCTTCCAGAAGTTTCCACTTAGTCGTAGCTTTGTTGAAACCCTTGGCAGAGAAAATGGATAAAACTGGAAGTGAACATACAGTAGGTGGAGGCAGTGTTCCCAGCTGGTGACAACATCAGTCCAAGCCTCTCATTAGTGGTAATTAGCTGTGTTTAGTGTCACTGCCAATATGTCATGCTTGACGAGAGCTTTTGCTCACAGCAGCACTGGAACCACCTGGTCTGATTGTTTTCTCTTTCTCTCTCTCTCTTTATCCTCTTCTTACTGATTACAATTACCAGGCAGAGCAATGAATTACTCATTAAGAAAGTCTAATGACTCCTGAACATTCTTGTCAGTCTGCTCGTGCTTGATCAGCTCTAATTTTGTAGGTTGGAACTCGTCCTTTTGTTGTAGATACAAGACAGAGGGGAATCTTCCTGCTAGACTTTCTGTGCAGCCTCATCTGTCACACCACGCGGCTAAAGGGGAATATGGAGGCTTATTAGATGAAGTTCTGACCTTTATCGATTGTTTTTGTGACCAATCCAAAATTTACAGCAACACTGAATCATAAACAGCTTCACCTGTTATTAAAGGATCGATATATTGTCAGCACATGCCTGAGGGGATGTTTTTTGATCGATTGTTCATGTGTTTCGACCAATTTAACTGCTGGTCTCTGAATGAAGGGAGTAGAACAAAATTTCAGCAAGTTTGTTTTTATATTTTAAAGGATTTGATTTCTCAAGTCTCCCTTGATACAATACCACATTCCCTGTTTATGCTGCTTCTCTTCCATTGCAGACACTGTCAGGGAAAAGGAATTTGTTATCAAGAAGACTGCAACCGATGCCTCACATTAACTTTCAGCTGTATTTTAGAATGCATATTTACATTGAACAATGTAATGAAACTCATGAAATTGAGTTTGAATTAATGACAACTGTCGTGTAATTAGTTTGAACTCATTTGACTAAAATCCACACAGCCTAAAATCCATGACAAACTAACAGGTGATTTCAGATTTGTTGTCATGGTAATGTACTTATAAAACACAGCAAACGGCCTCACCTTTTGTCCACCATTCCTCCATGTACGGTATGGTGCGGAATGCAAATGATACATCTCAGATGATTTGGTGTCATTATTAAACATTCACAGCAGCTTGCTAGATTCCCCTGCTTTGCATTAACGAAGAAACCTACAATTTTCACAGAAGAGATGTTGTCACAGTAGTAGGAGACGTATTAGTGGCAGGTGATAGTGTGTTTTACAAACACCCCTGCTGGAGTAAACAGAGTGGCCTGTTGCATTTATACAGCACATTTTTAATTTGGTAAGATCATTACAGATGTAATATGTGTTTATTTCCTACACTGAAACAGTTCGATTTTTGGATAAAAAAAAATCACAGCCCTAGGATGAGGATGGCGGACGTTTTCCTGTCTCAGCTGTGCTCAGTTCAATTTATGGCCAATCCTGACAGGAGGAATGATTACA